CTTCTTTTTTTTTTTTTTTTAATTTTTTTTTAACGTTCATTTATTATTGAGAGACAGAGAGATACAGAGCGTGAGCAGGGGAGGGGTAGAGAGAGGGGGAGACACAGAATCCGAAGCAGGCTCCAGGCTCTGAGCTGTCAGAGCACAGAGCCCGACGCGGGGCTCGAACTCACGAACTGTGAGATCATTGACTTGAGCCGAAGTCGGCCGCCTAAGCGACTGAGCCACCCAGGCGCCCCCCGCTCATGGCAACTTCTAGGCAAAGGCAGAGATGCCCTAGCTTCACTAATGCAGAACCCGAGGGATGGGGGGCTGAGGGGCAGCACCCCACCTCGGCCACACCCAGCTGTACAAACTCATACCTACGTCATCTAACCTTGGGGCATCCGTCTGTGTCTCCCCTGCCTCCCAGACCCCATCCCGGGTGAAGGCACTGGACACAGGCCAGCTGACCAGGGACCGGCTACCTCCCTGTACGTGCAGCATCTAGTGAAGGTCACTCTGGGGAGAGCCAAGGAAGGAGGCGGCAGTCTTGGCGTTGGGTAGCTCCCCGCCCGAGTCTTCCACTCACAAAGTGCACCTCGCTGTGCCGCCAGGGCCCAGCACCTTGCACGGAGGGAGGCCCTGGGGTCGAAATGAATAAATGAGTCCTGAAGAGCAAACAGCAGCTCTTGGGATCCACCCCCGCCCCAAATGTGTTGGTTCCCCCTCAAGGCGTTAGGTCAGAGCCTTTACCCACCGCCCCATTGCACAATTTACACCAGTTTTCTGGATTCATTTCTCCTTTATGAGAAAGTCCCACCCCGGACTGACTAATAAGAACACAGAGGATATGCTTCTGGCGGGACCTCCAGTCCAGGGCTCTCCCTTCCCCTGGGGTAAGATAAAGCCAGACCTTGTCAACGGAAACGCATGAAGTCCCCAGCCCCCGCTGGCACTCGCCACTAGTCCCTGCAGCCCATCCAGCCCCTGCATCCCCAGGATATCACGGATCCAGCTTCCCACCAATTTTTTTTTCCCCTCACATCCAAAACTGCCATTCTCCCAAGCCACAGAAACTTCTCGACTCTTAAGGCCTTGGCTGTGACCCGTGACCTAAAACAGCGGCATCCGATTAGTCCCGTGACCTGAGGGCCATTCACTGTCCGAACGTTTGGAACCTTGGTCAGGGGGGCTCGGGGGCAGGTGGAAAGCGGGTGTCCACTTTGACCCTGCCTTTCTCTGTGAGTGGATCTGGAACAGAACCTTGTACACCCAAGGGCCTCGTGTGGGCATTCGGTAACGACAAAGATGAAATAAGTTAGAGTTTTCATATCAAAAGGGGCTTCTTTTTAAGACGATTTCATTAAAAAGGGAGGAAGATCATGATGAAACTTATCACCTGTTTCAGTGTGGGTGACCGAAGGGTCCCCTCTGACCCCCGATCCCCAGCCCCCTTGCTCAGGCTGAGGTGGAAAAGGCCTAGTCCAAGGTTAGCACCCGTGCATGGCCCCTGGAAACCATCGTGTTCTGTCCCTTCCTTCACCTGCTCTTTGCCCATTTCTTCCCTTGCCTCAACTTCCCTGGAACAGAGGACGTATTCCTCGACCTAACCAGCTTTCTCCTCTGAACAGACTCCTCATCTTCTCTTTCCAGATGGTTCTAAAGCACAGCCATCCAGCTAAGCAAATATTTTTTAGCACTTGTAGCCACAGCCTGGCCAAGTATTGGAGACCATAAAAAGCCAAGCCTCTTCGAGAGGCTTATAAGGGGTGTGACCAAGGCATCAGCGGAGGCCGGGTCCGGGAGAGCTCTGGGAGTAAGGGCCCGGGTAGCTCCTTCCAGAGCCAAGTTCTTGGTTAGAAACACATCCCGGATCACCGCTGGGCCCCTCTGGGAAAACACATCCGCCCCACAGAGCTATTTCCAGGAATTCCTTACAACACGAGGTGCGGATACAGAGAAAACACATTGAAACACGATCATGGAGGGTGACAGAAGCGATCCTAACCTGATTTCCGCTGATGTGCAGAGCAGGGAGAGAGGTAATAAGAAACCTTTAGGACTGAAACATGAAACCAGGATGTTGAGAGGTGCCTGGCCATGTCTCTTGCGGGGAGACTCACAGATGTGGAGAGTCCAGAATTCCTGGGCCAGGCTCTCCTCCTGCGGGCCTCTGTCTGCTTTCCAATCTGCAGAATGGGGTCCTCACATGTGACGTTCCTGAGATTCCTTTCTGTCCTGACTCTCAGGAAACTGGCTCGTTGGTGGAGGGAGGGCCCTGCACTTGCTCCAAAACCCCAGCTCCAGTCCTGGGAGGCCCGGAGGCTGCTGTACGTCTCTGTGCAGGGAGTCAGGGGTCTTGATTAGCCCCCTTTCTCGGCACTCAGCCTCCACTCCCAGAGGCGGGAAGAAGCGCCCTTGACTGCCTGGTGGCCTCAGCATGCTCTCTCCTCCCTCTGGAAGCCACTGTCACTTTCTTCCAGCTCAGTCCGCTCCCACCCAAGCTTCACATGGGTTCTCAGCCTCCTGACGGTGCTGGTGAAGCAGCAAATCATTGCTGGAGAGGAGGGGGACCATGAGTTTATCTGCCTGTTGCATCAAGAGAAATAATCATGATCAAAAGCGTTCCCGCTGTGGGGGCTTGGAGAAGCCCTTTCTGTCTGTCCCTCAGCTGCCAGGTGAGGCTGGCACTCGGTTGTAAGGACCCCCTTGGGATCCTGTTTGGAAGCGAAAGGAACTAGGGGGCTCTGCTTAGGATTGGATCAGTGCCTTTGGACTTTGGACGCTCTGGATTCCTCAGCCCATGCTTTGGAGAAGCAGGAAAGCAGGGACTTTGAAATCCCTCAATGACATGCCTTATTAACCTTTGCATTTAGTGAGCATTTAAATTTTTTTTAATGTTTTATTTATTTTTGAGAGAGAGAGAGAGAGACAGCGTGAGCAGGGGAGGGGCAGAGAGAGAGGGAGACACAGAATCCGAAACAGGCTCCAGGCTCTGAGCCATCAGCACAGAGCCCGAGGCGGGGCTTGAACCCACGAACCGTGAGATCATGACCTGAGCCGAAGTTGGACGCTCAACCGACTGAGCCCTCCAGGCGCCCCTAGTGAACATTTAATTTTTCATCCAGCCCTGAGAGACGAAGGTTCCTGCAGTAAAGGTTTGGAAACTGAGTCTTAAAGGAGGGAGGCAGCTTGTCAGGGTCTCCCAAATGGTGTGTGACTGCCTGTCCCCGTCAGTGCAGCCCTGGGTTGGAGCAAAAGGCCTGAAGAATGAGGGGTGCCCTGGGATGACCCGGCCCGGGGCTCCCTTGCCCCCTGCTAAGCTCCCTGGTGGTCTAGAAATGAGCCCCCCGCCTCAGGCACCCCTGGCACTAAACCCAGGGTATGGCACAAATATTGCTTACATGAACCTAACTGTGCTAAGTGGTGCATCCCAGGCCGCTGGGACGATGGGAAGCCAGGCTGAGCCCTCATCACAGAAGCGGCATCTTAGCGGCTTTCGTAGATCTGTGGACATAAATGTTAGCTGTGATCTGACACTGGTGAGAGTTCTCGAAGCAGCAGGAACCGGGGTCCAAAGACGTGCCTGCTGGGGGGCTGCAGGGAGACCATGGCGACCTGCCTTGTCCAGCGAGGGGCCTCTCGCTGGGATATAATTTAATCAAAAGCAGCTAAGGTTAGAAATGAGTCTCCTCCGCTGCTCAAACCATATCTCAAGTTCCCCGGAGCCACGCGTGGGCAGGGGCAGATACAGTGGGCAGTGCAGAGATTGAACGTGTCCATCACTGCAGAAAGTTCTAGCGGTCAGTGCTGGTTTAGGCCCTCGGCCTGGGCGGGGGAGGGTGGCCCCTTTGTCCAGGGAGAATTGGGGGGTGCAGCCCCGGGAGCCCCTGAAGAGCCCATCTGCTGCGCACACTGGTGCTTCCTATCCAGGGTAGGGGGCACAGCCTTGTGCTCTGCTGCTGGCCCGGGGCAATTTGTCAGGGGGGTGCCTCGGAGTTGCCGTGCAGGCTTCTCCGTTAGGCACCAGGTGGGGTGACCCTGGTGGGGTGGTACCTCCCCCTGACCGTCCCAACCCGTCCACCCAGATGGCTTTCCTACCTCCTCCTCTTCATCCTGGACCTGCTCATCTGCCTCGTCGCCTGCCTGGGACTGGCCAGGCGCTCCAGGGGTCTCTTGGCCTCGTGAGTATCCCCGTCTGTGGGCCAGAGAGCCGAGCAAGCATCAGGGGTGACGGTGCCACCGTCTGAGAGAGATGGGGGCCTGGCCGGCTTCGGAGGGTGTGGTGGGGAGCAAGAACCTGACGCCACCTTCTGACCCCTCCTCAGCCCCCAGTCGAGAGAGACAGCAGCCACTGACTTACCATCTGGACACGGAGTGAGGACTGGGCTTTCCTCCCTGGGCCCCCTCCGTCCCTGGGTCTATCTACTGAACAGCTGAAGGAATGTGGCCCAAGCCTTAGAGCCTCTGCCGTCTCTAACCAACACCTCCTCGTAGCTTGTGTCCTCACGGCTCGTACTCTGCTGCTGGCCAGGGGCAATTTGTCGGGGGTGGGGGGGCTTAGGGGTCCCCTGTTCGGCCCAGGGGTCCAGCCTCCATGCCTCTCTCCCAGCAGTCAGTGGGCTGGTATTAGAGGCCACTGCAAGAGTTTCAGGGCCGACAGGATGGTGGCGAGGAGGAAGGGCACTGGAGGTTGGTGGGGTGACAGCCCTCAGTGTTCCCACCTGCCAGCCTGTGTCTGTGCCTCTCCCAGGATGCTGTGCTGCGGGGTGCTGGCTCTGCTCCTCAGCTGGACGTCCTTGGCAGCCGACACGGCTGCAGCAGTGGTGAGTTCGGGGTTGGGGGGAGGTGGGTGGTCCGACCAGGACTGTCTGTCTGGTGGCTTGTCGATGTGTCGTGCCCAGAGCCCCCAGGGCAGGGCCAGCTTCTGGTCTCTGTCCCTGACCTAGAATCCCTGAACTGAGTGAGCTTGGATCGTCCTCACCGGCCCCCTTGCCCTTCCCAGGGGGACGGAGGCCCAGAGAAAGGAAGAGGCTCACCCAAGGTCATGAGGTATTTAGGGGCAGAACCAAGATAAGATGCCTGATCCCTTTCCCGCCCCACTGGCCCATTCCAGCATCCCAGCCGCTGCTAGTAAGGCCAAGCTGGGATGGCCAGGCGACCTCTCTGGGTGTGAAGAACTAACGGGGTCTGGTGGGGATGGGCGGGATCTCAACCTCAGGCTGGAGAAGCCTCCGGCCTCAGAAGCACACTGCTTGGCCAGCTTCCCTGGTCATCGGGAATGTGGAATGTGGCATTTAGCTTGCCTTCCGGCCCGTTGCCTTGAACTCGCACACACAGCCTAAAACACAATGGTGTATGTTTCTGGATGCGGTGCCTGAAAACGTCTAAAAAGAAACACACAAGGTAGGGGAAGCTTCCTGTGTAGGTATGCTTGGTCTTTAAACACACCTAACGCTCAATTTAAGCTGTGCGCATGAATCATTCGTTCACCGACTTTCTGGCTCTGTGGCATCTCGTGCCAGGTGCCCAGGGATACAGAGACCAGGAGGACATGATGTTTGCTCTTGACATGGTCTCAGCCTGCAGAAGAAAGACTTGTAGGCAGATCACTGTGACGTCGTGTGAACGGATGCCATGGAGGTGCATTGCTGTGTGTGTGTGTGTGTGTGTGTGTGTGTGTGTGTGTGTGTGTAAGTGTGAGAGTTGGGGGGGGCAG